TGATGAAGAAAGGATATGTACGAGATAGCATGAGTCCGTGTGCAGTTCCAGTTATACTTGTGCCCAAAAAGGACAGGATGGGGAGGATGTGCATTAATTGTCGAGCGGTCAATAAAATCACTGTAAAATATCGCTATCCAATTCCTAGGTTAGATGATATGTTGGATGAGATGCATGGATCTTGTTTGTTCTCTAAAATTGATCTTAAGAGCGGATATCATCAAATTTGCATGAAAGAATGAGATGAGTGGAAAACTGATTGTAAAACCCCTCCCTAGCCGGGTATTTCCTAAGTATCCCTTGGCCATTGAGAACCTAGAAAAGGCACGCCTAGGAAAGAAGTTTATTTTTAAACTATAATAAGTTCATTGTATAATCAAAAAATATAATTTCCTTTCTTGGAGTAAATTATGAAATCCATAGTAATACTTACTAGAACATACATACTTTTATAAAATTTACTAGCAATTTGATTTCCTTTATTAATACAACATATTTACTCCATTATAGAACATGGACATAATTACTACATTATGAGCTATGAACATAATTACTACACTAAATATTAGCAAAACCATTCAATAGTCATCATTAAAGCATCCCCTCATGCTCATAGCGTCCCTTGGAATCCTCTCCCAGCTTCATGCCTTAATCCGTACCTGCAAAACATTTTAAAACATTTCGTGGGGTGAGCGCTAATCGCTCAGTAAGGAATATGGCCATTTATAAACTATTAAGGTTCATTATACAAGTAAATTACTTAGGACTTTACCTACCTACAAAACATGACCTTCATTCTTTGACATAACAAGTTCATAAAACATATCATACATTTTGGACTTTTCTCATAAACATAAGTCATAACATAACCATACATAATATAACATAGAACATAAATGACTTATGAAATATTCATGTACATGGCATGCTTATTTGTTTTGTCTATATACTTGACGATTTCATTAGTCTTTGTTATCCGATCGGATTCATTTGAACCATTACCTTGTTCTTGGTCGTCACCTCAAAGGACTCATGGTTTCCATAAGAATTCCATTCCTCTGATCTTGGTTTATACCTCAAGAGACTCATGGAATTCATTCTTTAACATTTCATAAATTTTTCATAAGACAACTAAATAAGCTATATGCATTACCATTATGAATGCAAACATATGGACTAACATATTCCATGCTCAATCATACTATATTCTCCTACTAAACTTCTTAACTTAATTCATTCAATTTCTCATACAATACAAAGAATTTCAGTAGTAAGATTATTCAGGGGTTTATTAGAATTAGAAACAAATGGGAATTTCCATTAAGAAGGTGGATGCCATACAGTTCGTTACTTTTCAGCAATTTTCCATTATCTTCTAATTCGAATTTATTTTTGGCTAAAACATAAAAGTTTTAGGTCTGTTTCTAAAATTTTTAACACTTCAAGAATCAACTCAATCGGACTTCTATAACTTCAGTTATGACTGATTCAGTGAAGCATGTACAGTATAAGTCTCAAAAAGCCAAATCCGAATTCTATTCATTTTAACCATGTCACCTTCATTTGCACATTCATATCATTTGCCATATCATTCTTAGTATAAAAGGCCATAAAAACCTCCCTTTTTACAGAATCAAAAAGTGCCAAAACATCGTCCAACTACAAATCTCTTAATTGGCATAATCATCCTCCACATGCACACATACACCAATCAACACACCCATTTAAACAATCCATAACCAAAACATAGCATCACACTCATATTAACATAAATAAATGTAAGTTTCATAAACCCTAGGTGTTATCAATTGTAGTCATAAGGGAGATTTTTTCCTTACCTTAGTATTCAAAGCACAAAGGTACTCCTCCTTGGCTCCAAAGTTTCACCTTTCTACCTTACACACATAACCACTTATGAATTTCTCTTTTAACAAAAAAATTCAGAAAAACTAGGGTTTTGAAACTCACCTTTAACCCTGAAATTGAAGTTCTTTAAGGGTAGATGGTGATCTCCTTTAAAAATCAACTTGAAATCCTAAGAAAATTTGAGAATAAAAGCTTGGATTAGTGGTTTTTATGTTTTGGGAATGGACTTCCTGAGCAAATATGGAGTATTGATAGATTGTCGGAAGAAGAAGGCCAGGTTTAACTTAGATGCTGGAGATAGTTTCACCTTTGGGGAAGGTCATCTACACAGCCTAATGATAAGTGCATTGAAGGCAATGAAGATGATAAGGAAGGGGTGTACAGGGTACATAGCTAATGTGGTGAATAAATAAAAGTTTCCAAATTTTAGTGTTCGAGATGTACCCATAGTATGAGAATTCGAAGATGTATTCCCAGAAGATTTGCCAGGACTTCCTCCAGAAAGAGAAGTGGAGTTTTGTATAGAATTAGCTCCTGGTGCGGCACCAATATCTAAAGCCCCATATAGAATTCCCAGAAGATTTGCATATTATAGGGTTGTGTATTCCGCTACAGGTTATTCACCATTTGAAATTGTTTATGGTTTTAACCCTTTAACCCCTTTGGATTTGTTGCCTTTACTTGTTGATGAGTGTTCCAATTTAGATGGCAAGAGAAAAATGGAGTTTGTTCGACAACTTCATGAAAAAGTAAAGAAAATATTGAGAAGCGAACTGAACAGTACGCGAGACAAGCTAACACGGGGCAAAAGAAAGTGGTATTCCAACCAAGAGATCGGGTGTGGGTACATTTGCGGAAAGAGAGATTTCCATCTCAGTGGAAATCTAAGTTGCACCTAGAGGAGATGGTCCATTCCAAGTGCTCGAGCGAATCGGAGATAATGCATACAAAGTAGATCTTCCAGGTGAGTATAACGTAAGTGCTACCTTTAATGTTTCTGACTTAACTCTTTTTGATGATGCAGATTCGAGGAAGAATCCATTTCAAGAGAGAGGGTATGATGAGGACATGACCGAGCAACCTGTTGTCGTAAAGCCGACACAGGATCCTCTTCACATTCCGGTGGGCCCGATTATGAGGAGTCGAGCTAAAAAGATGCAAGGTGTCTTGTCAAGCGTAATTGAAGAACTTGAAGCCAAGGAAGCAATGTCTGAAGCCGAGTATGCCTTAGAGGGATCCAAAAAGATTGTTAACAAGATTGAAGCCCAAGTCCAAGTTTGAGGAATTGAAGACCGATTCTTGCTAGCCTTAATTGGGTCCAAGTTGGCATCCAAGCCTTTGTTCATGGGCCTTAATAATTGTTATTTTATTTGGGCTATTTTAAGCTATTTTAAGACTTATTTTGGTGTAATGGGCTGGAGCTATTTATTTACTAAAGCTCAACTCTTATTATTTTTATCAGTTGGGTTTGGGTTAATTATTAGGGTTAAGACCTATTAATGGGTTGTTAACCTTATTTTGGGCTAATTAGTTAGTTATATATAGTTGTAGGCTGTTTTGGCCGCACACTTTTTGGAGGAATAATTAAATATATATATATTTTTTTTTTTTTTAAGATTGCATCTTGATCTCTAGAACTCATCAAGAATCACCAATTCTTGTGGCGTTCTTCCACGAAACTTATCAATCTAAATCAAGATTGTGGCATTTCAGATTATCTATACCAAGGTTCTAACGATAAATTCGTTTCGGGTTGCGATTCTTCGAATTCTGATTGTTCCTAGATCTTTATGTTCTTGATCGGGGGTTTCTTCGCAAATCGAAGGAGTTTGCATCAAATATTTATCAATCTAACGCAAAAAAGCTTCCATCAAAATCTGAGAAACCCATAAACAAAAAATTAAAATAAAATAAAACTGTTACATGACAGCGACTATTTTTTTGGCGAAGCGTGATCTGGCTACCACTTGGCCCTCAAGCGACGACTAAATTTAGCCAGCCCTAAGCCATGTCGACGAGGGGTGAAGAAATAAAATAGGGGAAAGAGAAGAAGAAAGAAAGGAGGAGAGAAGAGAAGAGAGGAAGAAAGAGCAAACAGAAAAGAAAAGGAGGAGGAGGGGGAAATTAAAAAATATATGAATAATACCTTTGTAATAACTAATAACCTAAAAATATCAATATAACCTGCAAATCAGTTAATTTAAATGGAAAAGGTTAGCGGAATGGGGGCTAGGCTCCTATTTTGTACACTAGTGGGTGTTATAAAAAAAATTTGTTTTTCTTTAAATTTAAAAAGTCTAAAATACCCTTATAGTAACTTAACAATATCAATATAACATGCATATCAGTTAATTTTAACGAAAAAGGTTAATAGAATGGGGTTAGGCACCTATTTTTTATAAGGTAAAGCTATTTATATAAACTTTCGTATAAAAAGAGTTTGAACAAATTGACATTATATGTCACATGGCATACCACGGGATATTGAAGATCATATTATATTAATATTATATAAATCTTCGTATCACATAACATTTATATGCTATGTCACGTCAGTTTATATACAATTATTTTGTATTAGAGTAATTTAACCATTTTTATACTATACCAGTGGGTGTTATCAATAACCGCACAGTAAAATTTCTTTATCGGGAGTTATATTATAACCATATTTTCCCTCCAACTTTATTGTCTTTTTCTCCAATTTTTAAATTTAATATACCATCGAGCTTATGCTAAAATGTGCCGGAGGTGAGAAGCTGTCGTGGCATGCGCTAACCGACTCGATTACACACGTCCCGTGATTGACTCTTTTTGTCGCGTGCATGACAGTGACATGTTCACACCTCTCCCACCAAAACGACACAGCATCACACTGTTACTTAAACAATCACCTCCCGGCGTACTTTAGCTTCGACTGGTCCTTCCTCACCCACTCACACAACACACTCGCTGCCGTCTACTTTTATTACCTCAAAAATTCAGCTCGTACACACAGAGAGAAGAGATTTGTAATTATAGCTTTTGAATTGAAGAGTTGATGTGATGACTTGTTGACTGATTGGTAGATCAACGGCTGAAAAGGTATCTCTCTTTCTAACATTTTCTCTCTGTCGTTGAAACTGCTTACTTTCTTTTCCTTTTTTCAATTTTATTTTATCCGGTTCCTGAGATTTTGAACCTTCAGGTGAATGTTTAATTCAGCTTGTTGAGCTCGTGATCTACTGATCTGCATTGCTTGGTTTCCAAATTCTGTTGAATTGTGTTTCAAGATCTGACTTTTTTAGAATGTAGTTTAGTTATAAGTTAGGTCTTCTTTTAATGAAAGTGAATTGGAGATTTTTCAAGAAAATTTGGTGCCTAATGATTCGCAGGGTGCAAGGGATGAGGAGGTTAATTGGAGTATCTGCTGCTTCAGAGTAGAGAAAGATTTTTCATTTCGAAATTTAATTTGACAGGTTAGTGTTATTCTTTGGTTTCATGGATATAAAATCTGATGCTTCTCATTTCATAATTGAAATGTGTTTAGTTTGTGTAATTGAGTCTTGGTGTGACTCAGTCGTCCTTTGGTGGAATTTGTTTTGAGTTTGTTAGTCCTTCGGGGTTCTTTTTAGTCTGATTCAAGTGGATGATTGTGATGTTGTGTATCAACTTTTTGTCAAGCTGTCCATGGGTACGGAATTATTATCGTGAATGATGCTTATGAATAAGAATTAAACTGTTGTTTTCAAGATATGGGTGGCATTAGTTTATAATCAAGGGTGAGTTTTATAGTGATTTTGGAAGTCAATCAAAATAGAGATAGTTTGTGGAAGTACAGTGTAGGAGAGACTTGATTAATTCTAAAAATTTTGTTTGATTTTGGAGCCCAGTAACAGAAAGATAGAGTAAGCTTCTTCATACTTGTTTTACTCCCTTTGCTTTCAAATGCCAGGAGTTCCTGTAGTAAGAAGGATTTATCAACATAGCAACTATGTGCCTTCTATTAATTTCATAATCCACTTTTAAAATGCATAATTAATTGATTATTTAATGTTCATAAAAATGTGATGAACCATCATATATGGTGATAACACATAGGTTCCATCATACTTCAGTGGTATATGGCCAAGGCACTTAAAGATTGCGACAGGAATCAACTTCTAGCCTTGGTTACATAAGGCATTTATCTCAGCTACATTTATATTAGTTAGCAGTCAGTTTATGTGGATAATTAATATTGTCAAAAAGGTCTTTAACAGGCCAATCACTTAAGCTGTAATGTGGACAATCCCTAATTTCATCTTTCTATTGTCACTCAAATAGAAAATGTTCAACAATCTACAATGGTGAATGTCATTCAATACGGCAAGGTCTCATTATTTCTTTCTCATAAAAGTTTATTCTTTTTGCCCCTTTTTGGGAATACACGTGATGTTGATTGTTTTGCTTCCAAAAAAATTTCTTTTAATAGGAAATATAAACTTTGTGAAGGTGCATGGGTGTTAGTCCTCTTTCTTCCAAAAGATGGTTTTCCTAATTTCTGGTGATGCCTTGTAGAGTTGAGTTTGTTTCCTTGAAATAAAATTGGGCACATCTATGATGGGGGGGTGAATACTGATTTAACTGGTAGTATACCAATGAATTTTGAAAGTCTACGATCATTTCCTTAGTGGCCAGAATGACAAGAAGTGCATAGGAGTGAGAGGCAATTTAGAAAACCCCCATAATGAGAGTATATGCAGATTATTTTTCAATTATATTTTTATTACATTTTAGAATTAGTATTACATATTATCTTACAGTGAAGGGTTATGTTATCTTAGCTTACGTGCCAACATCATCACAAATGAGCTAACCCAACCCAATATGTAATTGATTATATGACCCAACAAAAGAGCAATACAAAATCCCAGATGTGTAAACTTGAGGATGAAACTTTATTCGCAAATCACCTTTGGCCAATATGTGGAGTCTTAACAAATCTACGTTGATGGTCTCGTCATGATCTATTGGTGAGCAAGTTGCAGAACTTGTCCCCCGGAAAGGAGGGCAGGTTTAGTTGTGTAGAATGCTCTAGTAGTGACAAATGCACTTTATAATTACAGCTCTGGTAGCAAAGCAAACCCATAATGTCTTCAATAAAAATCATGAGATTCTCTATTTTATATGACTTAATGAAATTTTATGAACTTATATCTTTATTTGTCCGTCATCATCAAGCACTTCTTTATTTAATCTTGCTTGATTCATTAGGTTGCGATGCTTTCTTAAGCAAATTCTTTTTTGCTTTTGCCATTTCCCCCCTATCTCGCTATTTTTCTCTTGTTTCCATGTAAGTACTTACTCAATAAACAAGGCATTTTAACTGATTTTTTGAAGGCTACTGTTTTCTGGCAGGTCTGTTTCTGGTTGAGTTTGCTGATTTGTACCATGGGTGTCTCAGGAAAATGGATTAGGGCACTGGTTGGTTTAAAAAAGTCAGAAAAGTCACCTTCTTCAGAAAAGGATGAAAATGTGGGTATTATATCTTTTACTTCCTTTTTAAATATTTCATGTTCATGGTTATTGCAATTTTTTGAAGCTGCTAAATCAATATATGGTTGTTGCAATATGGGACTCCTGTAAACGTTGAAATCATTACAATTGTCTGAAACTGCTAATTGCATATATGGTTGATGCAATGTTTATATTTTATTTTCCCTTTTTGTACACTATAGATAAGCTTCTTCCATTCATAATGTAACCATGTGTGGTTAGGACTAAGGCTTGGTTTGTGTCAACCACAATCTGACTTCTAACAAATTGTTTGGGATCAGATGATCACCCTCTGTCAACTATTTCTTTCTCTTCTGTGAAATAATCTTGCTTTCTATGTCTTTTCTAAAATAATTAAAGGGATCCTCTTTGGTTATCGTATTCATTCTTAGAATTTAGCCATATTTTATTAGATCCAGTGTTTCAAAACTTTATTTTTTTTAATTTTCTTTTTTTTTTTTTATCATTGGAGGCATTAGCAACTGGAGAAGGTCAAAGATGTCTGATCCTAAGTAAAATACTGCATGGTTAATGGTGTAAAAAGGTTATAGTTTAATCTCTTATTCCTATCTTGTTACAGAGGGCAGCAGCTAGCAAGTTTCGGCATCGGAGAAAGCACTCAGTGGAGATTGATACTGATAAACTTCAGGATGAATTTGATCAGAATGCTGCTCCACTAGTTGGAGATGCTAATATAAATGTGATTGCAGAGACTGTTGGCTCTCCATCATATTCACTGCAAGTGCAAAATATAGTTCATGATCAACAAAACTTGAGAGAAGAATGGGCTGCAACACGCATCCAAACAGCTTTTCGTGGATTTTTGGTATTGATTTCCTCATGGCATCAGCCCTTTTCATTCAGCAATTATTACTAATTAAATAATGATTTCTTGTTCAATTTTACGCGTACACGTTCTCTTGGGGCTTCTGAGTACCTTTTTGATAACTAAGAATAGAAGAGATTAAAAAGTATTTATTGGGAGGTTAAGGGAAGCTGCTACTCTGTTTAAAGCTGAAGTTTTGTAATTCAAAAGACCGTGCCTTTATGCTTAGGTTAATTTATAGGACTTTCTATTGATTGGCTATTGAGTTGATCCTTGTTAGAAATCAAAATAAGGTCAAAGAAGGTGTCTTCTATGTTTCCCTTTGAAAATTATGATAATTAATCTTTAATTCACTGAAGCCTTGTAATTGTTGTTGGGATTGGGTTCGCAAAAGTTGTTCTACTCTATCCAAGGTGTTAGTTATTGTCATTTCGTATTATGCAAACTCTTAGGTTGTGTTTTGTGCTTGGAATTAGATTGAGCTAGTCTAGGATTAAATTCGATTCTATATGATAAGTGTCCGTTGTTTGATGTTGTTTGATTAGTATCATATTGGATGAGATTTTATATTATAAGTAAACTCAAATTTCACTATTATGCTATTTGAAACATATAGTGATGAAAAAGTCTTCAATGGGATGGATTCATGTCCATTCGTCTAATCATGATGTGCATGCATGTTGTGTGCTGATCTGATGTGCCTGGTTGGATGGATGCACATGCGTCTGTCCCACTGAAGAATTCTCGTTAGTGATAGTTGATTGAATGTTTATGTTTTAACTCAATTGGGTTATTGAATATCTTAGATATGATTAGATTGATGATAGCGATGGTGGAATCATATGATGAAATCACATGATGACATCAAAAGACTCTGTATATAGTATTAATTATGATTCTCTGGTGACAGAGAGTATCTCTTAATAGTGTTGGTAATAAGATATGATAAAATGTAATCTTTAGGTTGTGGTGTAGAGAATGCATAACTGTAAAGGAGACTCCATAGAGATAATAGAGCATCTCCTACTAGTAAGATAATGTCTGTAATCGTGTTTTCTAGGATCTATAGAAACGATCCTCATGTAGTGTATTGAGCTATTGAAATGAATGTAATTCCCATCGCAGTCAAGAAAGCTTGTTAGTAAAAGATCATTTTTAATATTACATTTTATCATATATTATCACTAATAGTATTTGAGCGATACTCTTGTCTCCAAAGTCTTCTAATGTCATCATGTGATTATATATTATTCCAATTAATAACTAGTTAATCATTCTAGTTATATATAATTAATTGAAATTATAATTACAAAATACAGGCACGTCCAAAAATTTAGTCTCATAAACATGGAATAAGCTAATCCCATGACTTTTCATGGAATTAGACTTAGATATTCCATGTAGATGGGATAAATTTATGGACCTGAGATAACTTATATTATCCCCTTGTGTTGCCAAAAAAAAAAAAAGGAATTATCAACTTTTGAAATTATCCAATCATATTTTTTTCCTATCCACCAAAACACACCATAATCTCTTATTTTGGCTAATAAGACTTGACGGAGTAGGTTGCAGACCCATGCTAGCCTGGTTAAGTGTCTTTTTTTATAAACAAATTGCAAATCATAAAGCCAGGCTGTGACTATATTTTGACTGTGTAACATAGCTTAGACAATTTTTTATGTGCAATTATTTCCAGCATACCTTGTTGTGACCTTAAAGTGAGGTATAAATTTATTGCTTTTACCAAGTTAAATAAGAAAATATAAATGAGGCTTATTTAACATTATATTGGCAAACACATTTGTGAAACCAACTAAAATGAACTTTAAATTTTACATGTGTTTCTAGGTTCTTGTGAGAGCATGTAGCACCTAGTGGTCCATTTCTAAATTGTTGAATTAGATTTGGTTGGGTAAGTGAACTATCAAAGGTTCTGTTAAGCGAATATGGTATTCTAGTTGGAAAAGACAATGTTGCTGCCTGTCCTATATTAAGATCATGCAATGACTAAAAGATTTAGGGGCTGCTTCTCTAAAAATATTTGATGTTATCTCACTACATCTTGTGACTTCTCTCCAAACTGTACTCAGATGCTAAAGTTCCATGCTACTTTGAGTTGAGTTCCTTTTTTACTCTAAATTGAGCTGCATGCTGCTTCTGCTTACTAAAGTCATCCATTGTCATTTGCTGATGAAATAATAAATTATAAAAACTAAAAGCCTCTCATAATATTTCAGGAGCTAACATTCATCTGCCTGGAGCAACACAATTTTTATTTTTTTCCTGAAGTCATGTGTACTGGTCAGAGAGTAGCTGTATATTATGCACCTATGCCCTGTTTAGTTTAATAATTTGATATCCATATCTTTCAAGTTCTTTTCAGCCTAGCAGTTCTGATCTGACTAGGTTGTCTTAATGATACGTATCAGGCTAGAAGGGCTTTAAGAGCATTGAAAGGGTTAGTGAGACTTCAAGCCCTTGTCAGAGGTCATGCAGTGAGAAAACAAGCTGCAATAACTCTTCGCTGCATGCAAGCTTTAGTAAGAGTTCAGGCCCGTGTCCGAGCAAGGCGTGTTCGATTGGCATTGGAAAGTCAAACAGCACAACATAAACTTCAGCAACAACTTGCGAATGAGGCTCGTGTTCGAGAAATAGAGGTAAGCAACTTAAAATAGTGTACAGTCATACAGTTCTTAGCTGTTTCCTTTGTTGGATTTCTTTGGGTGCAGTGGGAACTTGCCATCTTCCCTATTTTCCCAATGGATATTTCTCTTGCATGAAGATATGTTATCTGCATTGCTGGAGTGCCAAACTGAATGAATACGGTAGATGTGAATAAATAACTAGGATATGGCAGTCCTAATAAGCTGGAACCTATGATACATATGAAGAGTTAAGACTTTTGGATTCCATATGGACTTGTATAGTCAATCTTGATGTTTTTTATTTACTGTATTTGAAGTTGGTGATTCCTCTTATGATAAGAGGAAAGGAGTACTGAATTGCTATTGCTATTTATAGTCGAAACTATATTACAATTACATAGCATTCCTGGTGTTACAGCATTTTTATTACACATTAATGGTTAGAAAATTTTACAGTTGCTTCCTCATCCGCTGTTTTAGCTAGTTGAATTCACTTTTACTCAGAGTGCTCATATCAGTTTGAATCTGATTTAATGCAGGAAGGATGGTGTGACAGTGTAGGATCAGTTGAAGAAATTCAAGCCAAGTTGCTCAAGAGGCAGGAGGCTGCTGCTAAGCGTGAGAGAGCCATGGCATATGCTCTTGCTCACCAGGTAAATTTTTTGCTCCCATTGTGGGTTTATGAAGAAGCAAATTTTGTCAAGATATAATTGATTGATTTTCCTAAAAGGAGTTATAGATATCTACAAGGGAGGGTTCATAACTTTATATTTGTACCTTGGCATAGTAAATAAGCTTCCTTTTTCATGAATTTTTTGGAGTGTTGTTCATGCACACTTTTAATGTCTTTAGTCGGCTCTTATTCACCCTTGTTATCATTCTATTTTTTTAATCTCTTGTTGGGATTAGTGTCAAGTGCTAAATTAAGATGATTTTAAGTTTCTGTTCAAGTCTGGCTACTATTTGCTATATCAGTTGCCCGCCTAGTATATGTCCCAGAATAATCTCCAGGGGTTGGCATTCCCCAGCAGGCTTGTGTGTAAGATCAATGTTTGTTCCTTCAGTGGCAGGCAGGCTCAAGACAGCAGTCTGCTCCTTCTGGATTTGAACCTGATAAAAGCAGCTGGGGATGGAATTGGTTGGAGAGATGGATGGCTGTCCGTCCCTGGGAAAATCGCTTTCTTGACATTAATCTTAAAGATGGAGTAATGATACGTGAGAATGAATCTGCTGAGACTAACAGTGGCTCCAAATCTCAGATAAAATCTTCTGGCAAGAAACCGCTTTCATCAAATCTTCACTCCAACCTTTTAAGTCAGAAAACAGTTCCATCTCAGTCTGAAGGGAGTAGTTCTCCTGGTATATCAGTGGGCATGCTAGAGGCATCCACAACACAGTTTGCCAAGCCAAAGTCCAAGCCACCTCTTGAAGATCTAATTGAAGAAGTCAACTCAAGGCCTGCTGGCGTTGGTGCCAGATCCCACAGCAATCCAAAAGAGAGATCCACTCAATCAGATAAACCAGGAAAGAAGCGCTTGTCTCTTCCTAACAATGGTAGGTTTACAGACTCTCTTTCCCTCTCCCCTATAGACATTCAATCCTCCAGATCATTTATTTGGAGGAATATAGTTGAAAGCGGAAAAAGGACTGCAGTGCTATTTTCTGTCCCAGTCATCAGTTATATTAAGGGTTTCTTTTTCACACTAGACTAGGTAAAATGAGGTCGATCTGAATCCCAAGCATGAGAATATCTGCATCAGATTATTAAATATTCAGGACAAAAAATTCCCGACACAAAACAATTATTTCATTATTTTATTCTTCAGCTAGATACTCATTTATTTTCTGCAACTTTCTATCGAGTTCTGTGTCAAACAGTGACAAAATTTAGTTTTCAATTTTCCAAAGCACTTGTCCAGTATCCGTTGTGCAACTTAACATTGGATGATAATAATATGACCTGTCATATACATGAATTGTTTATGTCCATGAAATATTGTGCATTTTATTAAAACGCTCTACTTGATTTGCTTTTAGCAGCCGGGGCTCATGGGACTCGGACAAAAAGGGTTGTAACATCTGCTGCTAAAGTGACAGCAGGCTCTCATAAACCCATCAATAGTAAATCCAAGATTAATGGAAAAGGAGATTCAAACCCTACAAAATCTGTTCCGGTGTCTGTTGATCTGTAGCGAATCCATTCAGGTACTCCTGTTTCAATATGTATATATAGAGTCACATTACGAGGTGGATGAAATCACATTGCATATTTTCCATTCAAGATATCGGTGGTTTTGCCATAGCAGAGTTGGTTTCACAGTGGGAGGGTTGTGGAGAGTAGCCGGACATGTCACAGAATAAGATTAGCAGATATAATGTGACTTGTATTCATCTTTCATTTATGTGTTAATTATGTGATTATATATTATTTATTTTCAAATGAATGATTTCCGGAGCAGCTGTTGTTTCAGATTAATGTCTTTCTGGGTTTTCTTTTCTCCATTATCAGCTTCTCAACGATCATGTATTTGTTCTTGTGATGGGATTATACATAATAGATGAGATTAAGTGTTGGTAAAAGAATCCTGGGTTGAGAGAATTTGTAATCAGTAATCGCCAGTGTCTAGTGGATTGAACTCTATACAAGTTAATGTATTTTTTTATTCTTTCTGAAATTTTTTTGGTTTTTTTGGGATGCGCATTTATTTTCAAGTTTGAAGAAATCTTACCCATCTTCCTTATGGCTTAATGGATTTCCTAATTATTTTCATATTCAATTTTATTTCATTTTTCTCATCTATTTCAACGGTTCTCTCTCTCCACAGATACTAAAATTCTTAGGTTGGTTGGTGTACAACTAAAAGTGCGTTTGGTTAAGGGAATATTGGATTACTGGGAATGTTGGATTATTTGAAAGTTAGATTACCTTGAAGATTACTGGAAATCTTTAGGAAAATGTGTTTGGTTAGTTAGAATAAATTAATGGGTATGTTTTATTAATATGTTTGGCTGAGAGGAATAAACTGGTGGATATATTATTTAAATTATTGAATTGTCTTCTAATTAAATATTTAGTATTATTATAACCCTCTGCATTTAAAAACTTAGCAAAAAAACCCCATAATAAAAGTTTGGAAAATCCACAAAGCATCCCTACAACCCAGCCACTGTCGGTCGTCGGCAATCACGAACATAACGGTGCACGGAAGGTAGTAAATGGCCTCTGTGTGTCGTATGGCCATTTTCGGCTAGAGATTTGGCAATTTTCGGCCTTCCGTGCCCCTTTTCGGCGGCGGTTGGCCGCAGTGATGGTTGCAGGCGGTAGGTGGGTGGGNGGGAGTAGTTCTCCTGGTATATCAGTGGGCATGCTAGAGGCATCCACAACACAGTTTGCCAAGCCAAAGTCCAAGCCACCTCTTGAAGATCTAATTGAAGAAGTCAACTCAAGGCCTGCTGGCGTTGGTGCCAGATCCCACAGCAATCCAAAAGAGAGATCCACTCAATCAGATAAACCAGTAAAGAAGCGCTTGTCTCTTCCTAACAATGGTAGGTTTACAGACTCTCTTTCCCTCTCCCCTATAGACATTCAATCCTCCAGATCATTTATTTGGAGGAATATAGTTGAAAGCGGAAAAAGGACTGCAGTGCTATTTTCTGTCCCAGTCATCAGTTATATTAAGGGTCTCTTTTTCACACTAGACTAGGTTAAATGAGGTCGATCTGAATCCCAAGCATGAGAATATCTGCATCAGATTATTAAATATTCAGGACAAAAAATTCCCGACACAAAACAATTATTTCATTATTTTATTCTTCAGCTAGATACTCATTTATTTTCTGCAACTTTCTATCGAGTTCTGTGTCAAACAGTGACAAAATTTAGTTTTCAATTTTCCAAAGCACTTGTCCAGTATCCGTTGTGCAACTTAACATTGGATGATAATAATATGACCTGTCATATACATGAATTGTTTATGTCCATGAAATATTGTGCATTTTATTAAAACGCTCTACTTGATTTGCTTTTAGCAGCCGGGGCTCATGGGACTCGGACAAAAAGGGTTGTAACATCTGCTGCTAAAGTGACAGCAGGCTCTCATAAACCCATCAATAGTAAATCCAAGATTAATGGAAAAGGAGATTCAAACCCTACAAAATCTGTTCCGGTGTCTGTTGATCTGTAGCGAATCCATTCAGGTACTCCTGTTTCAATATGTATATATAGAGTCACATTACGAGGTGGATGAAATCACATTGCATATTTTCCATTCAAGATATCGGTGGTTTTGCCATAGCAGAGTTGGTTTCACAGTGGGAGGGTTGTGGAGAGTAGCCGGACATGTCACAGAATAAGATTAGCAGATATAATGTGACTTGTATTCATCTTTCATTTATGTGTTAATTATGTGATTATATATTATTTATTTTCAAATGAATGATTTCCGGAGCAGCTGTTGTTTCAGATTAATGTCTTTCTGGGTTTTCTTTTCTCCATTATCAGCTTCTCAACGATCATGTATTTGTTCTTGTGATGGGATTATACATAATAGATGAGATTAAGTGTTGGTAAAAGAATCCTGGGTTGAGAGAATTTGTAATCAGTAATCGCCAGTGTCTAGTGGATTGAACTCTATACAAGTTAATGTATTTTTTTATTCTTTCTGAAATTTTTTTGGTTTTTTTGGGATGCGCATTTATTTTCAAGTTTGAAGAAATCTTACCCATCTTCCTTATGGCTTAATGGATTTCCTAATTATTTTCATATTCAATTTTATTTCATTTTTCTCATCTATTTCAACGGTTCTCTCTCTCCACAGATACTAAAATTCTTAGGTTGGTTGGTGTACAACTAAAAGTGCGTTTGGTTAAGGGAATATTGGATTACTGGGAATGTTGGATTATTTGAAAGTTAGATTACCTTGAAGATTACTGGAAATCTTTAGGAAAATGTGTTTGGTTAGTTAGAATAAATTAATGGGTATGTTTTATTAATATGTTTGGCTGAGAGGAATAAACTGGTGGATATATTATTTAAATTATTGAATTGTCTTCTAATTAAATATTTAGTATTATTATAACCCTCTGCATTTAAAAACTTAGCAAAAAAACCCCATAATAAAAGTTTGGAAAATCCACAAAGCATCCCTACAACCCAGCCACTGTCGGTCGTCGGCAATCACGAACATAACGGTGCACGGAAGGTAGTAAATGGCCTCTGTGTGTCGTATGGCCATTTTCGGCTAGAGATTTGGCAATTTTCGGCCTTCCGTGCCCCTTTTCGGCGGCGGTTGGCCGCAGTGATGGTTGCAGGCGGTAGGTGGGTGGGGGTGGTGGCTTGGGTGGGTTGCAATTTGTTTTGAATTTAAGGTTAATGTTGTCCAAAAAATTAATTAATTTGGGTGAAATAGTAAAAACAACATTCATGTAAATAAATTTAAAAATAAGGGCATTATTGTCCAAAAAATTTATTAACAAGGGATCGAATTGTAACAAAAAAAAAAAATTACCCTGTTAATCTTACAATATCTAAGAAAATAGAGGTAATCTGATTACCTCCAATATTACCAACAGTAAATACTATTGGTATTTAAAGATTCCCGAAATCTCATATTACTTGACAACCAAACATGGTAATCAAGTAATATAAGATGACATAACTCTAGTGGTAATCAGATTACCTCCAATATTATCAACAGTAAATACTATTGGTATTTAGGAAAAAGTTGTATTTCAATTCTATTTAAACAAATCATGAATAAAAGTAGCAAACATCAGATACTATTTATGGTTCATTTGATTCAGAGAAGGTTATATAACTGAGAATGTTATATTAATAGAAAGATAGATTACTTTGAAAATTACTATGAATGTTTAGGGAAATATGTTTGGTTAAATTGGAATAAATTGGTGAGTATTTAATATGGATAAGTTTGGTTGAGAGAAATAAATTGGTGGGTATGTTATATAGATTACTAAATTGTCCGAGTTTTTAAATATTAATATAATATTTTTTTATTATTTTTTTTTTTTATCCATTTCTTTTAACCCTTTACATTAGAGATTTTACTAAAGCATCTTAACCACATAAAAGTTTAATTTCTAACACAATCACCCACACCCACCCCAAGCTATTGCCCGCCACCAACGTCGACAGTCGCTAGAATAGTGCACAACCAGTCGGAGCTGGCCAGTCGTGCATCGATCTAGCTGTTTCCGGCTAGATCAATGGTTGGAAATAGCCAGATAATCATGGATCTGGCTAGAAATGACCAGATCTATTCTGGTCATTTCTAGCCAGATCAATAGCTGTTAACGGCCAGATTTGTGGTTGTTAACAGCCATGGATCTGGCTGTTAAGGGCTAGATTTGTGGTCATTAACAGCCATGGATCTGGTTGTTAACGACCATATCTTTTTCGGCATCGTGCGCCATGGATCTAGCTGTTTTCGGCCAGATCAGCGCACGGTTGGCCAGATCCGACGGATCGTGTGCCGTTCCAACAACGTCAACCAGCAGCCGACGGTGGTGGCTGGGGGGTGGTGGTGGTTTTGGGTGGCTCGCAATTTGTTTTAGATATAAAGGCATTATTATCAAAAAACTTAATTAATTAAGAGTAAAATTGTAATGGCAAGCTCATGAAATAATTTCAAAATAAGAGCATTATTGTCCAAAAATTTTAATAGTTAAGGATAAAATTGTAACAAAATTAAGATTACCAAGTAATCTTAAAATACCTAAAAAAATAGAGGTACTCAAATTACCACTTATATAACCAACAGTAATTACTATTAGTTTTGGAAGATTACTAAAGTCTTATATTACTTGACAACTAAACGTGGTAATCTAAGTAATATAAGATGACATTACATCAGTAATGGAGGATAAACCCAACCAAACGTCTCTTTAAAACTATATCAGATTCTACTAGAAGGTTGGGGTTTCTTCAAATTAATCCACTTTCTTTTCTATGTAGTTAAAATAGGCGAAAGAAAAGTTATGAGCTCAAGCCAGGCTGTACTAGATTGGTATCAAAGCCAGGCAATGGATCAAAAATGGAGTAATTAGAGAAAACTATAGGGTTGCTTTCCTATGGTCAAAAGGAGATTATTAATCATGCGATGGATTTGTTTGGTAAACTTGGTCTGGGTATAGTGCGCCAAATTTACAGAAGTTTGCAATAAAAATTCTAAGC